TTCCAAACTTCACACTAACCCAAACAAGAAGGAAACCAGAGTGGTATGCAGGGCAGAGCAACCATGGTTGTTCAGATTGAGAGTACCTACTTATCAAAAGAAATCTGTATGGTTTTAAAGGCTGTAAAGGAGACAAGAGAGCAAAGATAAGGCCTTGGACCTGTTCAGGAAGATGGGTCTGTGATCTTGGTAACTCAAAAGGGGTTATATCCTCAAGAACATACTGGGAACATGCAGAATATTTACTTTAGCCTTGGCTTGGCATAGACAGAAAAATAAAAATTAGTCTGTAGAATTCTTAACTAAATTTTCCCCTATGAGTTTAAAAGTTCCACTTTATAGCAAAATTCAGGAAACTTCACGTCAGGAAAGTAACTGATAATGCTTACTTAAGGATCTGGAAAAAACAAATACAAATCCTCACYGCATAGATGCACCTTCAACCCAGCTCTCAAAGAATTCCACAGATGAGAGGATTTCAAAAGCTAAACATAAGTACCTAAAACACCCAAGGAAATAACCCACCATGAGCAGACCAAGAGAAACTAAAACAGACACGAAGTCCATACAGATGTTAGAATGACTGGTTAGAGAATAAGTTTATTTAAATGATTAAATAAGACAGGAACTAAAAAACACAAGAAACAAAACTAATTTTTTAAAAAATGACTAAGCAACTTTGTAAAGAAACCAAGCAGAATTTTTAGAAATAAAGAGTAACTGAAACTAAATCCAATGTTTGGGTTAAAAAGCAGATTGCACACAATTGAAAAGAAAATTAGTAAACTGGAAGACAGATCTAAAGAAATTACTGAGAACAGGATGTGCCCCTGGTTTCAATCTACAGTGGGTTGAGAGGCTGAAAACAGTTCAGAGAGAGAAAAAAATGAAAGAAAGTTTAAGAGACATGGAGATAGACTATAAATGTCTATCATATCCCTAATAAGAATTCATGGAGAGAAAAAACAAAAGGTCTCTGTTGTTAGTAACATCAAACAACAGTTCATGATGAAATAATGGCTCCTCATGGTGAGAATGTTGAGAATCTTCCAGAACTTATTAAAGAATCTTCAGATTCAGGAAGCAAACTGAATTCCAAGCAGTGAAAAAAGAAATCTCAAACATATCAAAGTAAAATTGCAGAACCCCTGAGATATAACAACCAAAAGTAAAAGATATTGCCTACAAAGAAACAACTTATTAAATTCATAGCATATTTTTCCAAAGCATCAAAGGGATGTTAGTCAATAATGAAATAAAATTTTCAAAGTACCAAGAGAAAACAACTAAGTGTACACCTAACTAAATTATCAATCAGATGAATGAGGCTGAAATAAAGATATCATAAAAATAAAAGATATTACTAATAACAGAGACATACTAACACAACCCCTAAAAAGACATAATTTAGAGCTGGGTGTGCTAGTGCTTACCTATAATCTCAACACCTCAAGATGTTGAAGCAGAAGGATCAAAAGTTCAGAGGCCAACCTCAGCAACATAGCAAGGCCTAAGCAACTTAGCAAGACCCTGTCTCAAGTTTAAAAACCAACAAATTTTTTTTTTTCTAAATGGTCTGGGGATATGGCTCAGTGGTTAAGTGGCCCTGGGTTCAATTCCCGGTACCAAAAAAAAAAAAA